GCTGTATTGCTGTTAGAGCAGATCATACTCCATATTAAAGTAATTTTTCTATACCAAACTGACACATACGATTTGTTCACTTTATAAATATGCTGATTTCTGTAACACCATAATTGTCTGGTAATTTCTTTTCATGTTATTTGTACCTTACTCTATGTTGTATACCATGGGTCAGTTTCATTAATTTCTATATGTAACGTTAAGAGTAATCGTCTTTTTGTGTTTTTTCCTTAGTTAATGATACCCAGTGTGTTTAATAAATACCACTGATTTAAAAAAACAGCTGTAGGTCGGAATGTATTTTTTACTGATTCATTCTGACATATAAATTTAAATTTTTAAACAGTTGCTAGTCGCTCTTATTTTGGAAAACGACAAAATTTTTGTATTATCATCGCTACTTTGAATAAAGCATTTATTACTGTTTTAAATAAAGTATTATTAGCAGATGTAACGAGCTCACAAATGGTTGTGGCATATATACTCTAATATTAGAAATTGAATTGTAAATTCTTGTTAATACCTAGAATGAAATTTTCAACATTTAATGCTACTTTTCAATAGTATCGTTTGCTTAACATTTCGGCGAATAATCTCTTTTTCCAGAAAATCTTTGCCCAGTTGAGCTCTGTATGATCTCGCGTTACCGTCCGTAAAAATAAAGTCTTCTCCAAACCCTTCCTGAAAAAGGAAAGATCCAGCGGCGGAAAAAGGCCTCAGATCAAGCGGTGTACGTTTGTCAAAAAACAAAAAGGCGACACTAGGATTCCAATTCCACCAAACTAGTCGATTTACCTTGTGTTGGAAGCCGATGGCAAGCCCCAGGCTTTCTCTACATGAAGACCTGTCGAGAGTCACTCTGTCTATTGAATCTTGTGACTGAAAAGGAGATGATACCAGTCTTGCTGTATCCAAGAAGGATGTGCCTGGCTTCAGAGAAGATGGACTGTCCTTCTGGTATCTTTCGAGGAAGACATATACCACTGGTCGCTCAACGTAATGGGCGTTATCTACTAGGCGTTTGTTGATAGTTTGTCAAGAAAATTGTAATTCCGGTTGCAGCAGCAAAATCCTGAGGGAACTCTCTTTTCATTATCTCTCTATGGTGTCATGCATTTAATACCACATATCGATCCTCCATAGTTTTCCTCCCTCTTGAACGGCCTCGGCCAGGGCTTCTAGTGATAGTACGCATAGTTTAAAATTGGTCCTGGAACCTGAAACTGAATTCGAAACATTCGTAACCGTCGAGAAATTTCTGCTGGAGTTTTGACCGACCTCAAAAACGTTGATTGCTCTCCATCTCAATCTAACGTCTAAATAAATGCTAAAAATCATTTTAACTGAAATCAATCAATCTTGTGACGTTGCTTACACGAAACATAGTTCTATAGATGAATTTTATAGATTCGCAAACCGGTACCCCGATCTAATATATTCTTAAAAATGCATTCTTTTAACTTTTTAACAACTGTTAGGTGCCTATATTACATTTACTGTCCTCCGAATCACATATCACATCAGAGTTAAAAGCACTAATTCATTTTTAATTATTGCAACAAATTTGTTTGCATCTTTAATTTTATTCATCAATATCTCTGTGATATAGAAATCCTTTTCTAATTAACGAAATCAGTTTTCCAAACAGTGTCACCATGGAAAAACAAAACCCGATCTTTATAAGAAATAGTACTTTTACGTTTTGAAAAGTTTACGTTGATTAAAAGGGTTTAAAACTTCACGTAAACTACTCAAAGAAATATCTAAATATTAGTGCATTTTAGAAGTGTAAAAAGATTTTGTATTATTAACATAATCTGCCCAAATTTCCCGTTTCTAGCTTAAGAGGCTTAGCTCAGAAGTGATGAAGCACTTAGTCTTTCATACACAAGGAATCAAGATTTTCTTTCGACTGTTACTTTTCAGGAACAATTTACTATCAACTAATTTACAATAGTCAATGGCAACATTTGTAAAATATACCTTTGAGATGCGGACCGTGTATCATAGTTTCCCGGATCACGTTCTGAGTTCTAAGAGAAATGGTTGAATATGCTTGATCTAGAGCATTAAAATGTGGTGCGCATAATCTAAATCCAGATATCTGAAAGGTAATTTTATGGCTGATAATTCAAAAATATTGCTTGTAAAGGAAATTGATTAATAAAAGCAAGATCCCGCTATATTATACCATGTACGATGAACACGATGTACATTTAATATTGTTATGTAGATCTAAACGTATAAGGTATTTCTCCCACCTTCCTAGCGTGTATCCGTGGTGTAGTGGTTCTGCACACTGGACCGGTATTCCAGAGGTCCGCAGTTCGATTCCCGATGAAGGCGTTGTTAATTTTTCATCTTGTCTGTTTCTACAAATCCTAATGTCTCTACAAACGTAATGCGTGAATATGGCTCACCGAAATCCAAGTGCAAAGAAAAATACTTTAAATGATACTGCAAGCGACATGTTTACACATTATTAGGCTTCATTCTTTGCCCTTTCTTTCACAACTTTATAGAACTAACATTTCATTAATTTTATTCATAGATAAATGACGTGATGCGATAAGCTGCACGTACTCCGAATGATGCTTAATGAGTTTAGATTGATAAATGACTTCAAATGTGCAGGAACGTTTCCTATTGCTGGTGGTTTTGTTGCACATGAACTCGCAGCTGAAGTCCATCAGCAAAAAGGGGCGATGTACTCTTCTGTGCTCACAAGAAATGAATGGAACGTTTCTTGTCGTGTTTGTGACTGGACATGAAAAATGGATTCTTTATACTAATACTACTTGAAAACGACAGTGTTTGGGGTGAAAATGACAGTGTTTGGGCCCGGTCTTACAGAAAACCCATAACTGTATCTAAAGCAGGTTTTTCTTTGCATGCAGTGATATATGGAAGCCATGATTTATTTTGAGCTGTTAGAAAATAATGTAGTGTCATCTTAGATAGTTTATAATGGTCTTTAACAACCAATTAATCTGCGTTAATAAAGGGACTTGGTGTGATTCTTCAGAATGTTAATGTTAATTCAAATACTGCAAGAGCTATTCGGCAAAGGCTTAATGAAATTCTTACTAATTCGCACAGGTGTTCAAATACCGCTCCATCCATATTTACCACTTTAAATCACAGCAGCATTTCTTGTAAATAAAGTCTTTTCCAATAAATAGGAAACTGAAAAGGTAATAAATGAGTAATTCGTTGCAGAATCAAAAGAAGTCTTCAAAGAGAATTGAAAAGTTGACTGAAAGGTGGACGGAAGCCAAACAAAAGAATGCATGCTAATAGTAATTGAATTTAGGCAACAATATTTCCTCCATTTTAAGTGATCTTTCTCGATCCTGCATTATTTTCTGATCAACCTAATACAAGAAGCTTATTATAGTGTTATAGAATTATTACTGAATTAAGTTGTTTAAGAGTCATTAAGTTATTTTGAAGCAGGAGACATGAAAAATGAGCTATGCCCTCGTCGGGACTCGAACCTCGACGAGGGCATAGCTCATTTTTCATTCAACTCTCGAATACGAGCGCGGTATAATAAGCTTCAGTAAATAAGGAGCGCGCTTCAGTAAATAAGGAGATAGTATTCATAATAAAATTAAACCACAAAGCCATGCTGGAAGGAGAAAGAAAATAACTTGTTTACTTCTCCTTCTAAAGGGCGACTGGTGATTAGGGGACCCAACTGTCAGATACTGGTGGTGAAGAATTATCGTTCGCCATCTTTTTAGTTCGAGGTCACTGTAGAGTCATTAGGTTATTTTGAAGTAGGAAACATGAAAAATGTGCAATGCCCTTGTCGAGACTCGAACCTGAACCTCTCGAATACTGGAAGGACGGATAAAATACCTTAAAACGTGGGTAATAATGAATAACAAATTAGCACTGAAAAATTATGTAATGATAGCCGGAATCATGTAATAACAAGTGTAAAGTTTAGCATTGTGTTCATGGGAGGAGAATTTGCCCGAGCATATAAAGCATGCTTAGTAGTAGAGAAATGTAATTAAAAATGTAGATGACACAATGTTGAGAAAAGAGCAAACACAAACAAAACTGTGCTTCAAGCTCTTCAAAATATTCTGCTCCTAAAAAGTATTTAGAAATGGTTAGTGTCTTTTTTGATCAACTAACATTCGGTATATGTTTCTATTGAGAAACAGCGAGTTAAACACATTTGTATCGTATTTAAATAAATAAAGAGATAGTATTCATAATAAAATTTAATAACCGCAGGGTGAATGTACATAGCTACAAAAGAAAGTCTTGAACATAAACTGCAAAGTATATTTTTGAGTTTGAAACCATTTTTTTTTTTTGCGGTGATATTCATAGTTCTATATAGTATCTCTTAAAAAGCGCACTCCCTTAAAACCTTTCTTAAGCACTCTCTTAAAAATAAATTTAGTTAAATATTCTGTTGTAAACATCAAACAAACTAAAACATTCAGTCAATCTCATCATCAAAGTGAGTGACGCGGCTGTAGTGACCTTGAATATCTGAATATTAAAATCCGAAGTTGATAATTCTTTTTTTCATTTTCAGTGCCTAATGTCAATGAAAAGATCAATATCTGATCTAGGTAATCTTTTCTGAATAATCCTTTCTCAATAATATTTATAAATAACATTTATAAAAATAAGTATAACAAAGAATAATACTTCAGAAAACAAGGAAGGTTTAATCTAAATATATAATTCTAAAAGACTGATGTTTTCGTTTGACTTTAATTTGCATATGCCCAAGGTTAAAGTTAAAATTCAGTTGAGTGATCTTAGAAGTGTAAGCATGACTGTGTTTAAAGTTGACCTATACACAACTGGTGACAACTGTCTCTTGGTACTATCTTATCCACAACAAAAATATAACACGCGGAATCGTCACTTGTATTGCGCATCGATTTTCAGATATTTGGCGACCTCTCTAAGAAGAGCGATCTTCATTTGGCGACAAGTCTCTAACCCTCAATCCTGAGAGCACAGAGCTGCCTTGCAGGAAGGGCAAACAGTCAAAGCTTCCCTTTCAGTTCACATCGGGGAGGGAAATGTGCCGGAAAATTTACCCTCCGTGTTGTGTGCTTTGTAGGATTTAATCATTATGGAATGCTTTTGTAGCAGGTCAGTTAAAAACTATTCTTCTATAGTTTCTCATTAAACTCAGTTTACTTCTATTGAATGATAAACTGATTGTTTCTAAATATTTTTTCTGTCTCTGAATTGGATATTTATCAGTGGTAGAAACATAGCTGGTAGCATGCTTGGCAGCGATTGCATAAATTAGATGATTATTTTTGAATTTCTAAGTGGTATCTAATTAGTCGTGAAATAATATTATGATAAATGTTCTGCTTCCCATAAAAGTACTTTTTCTTTCTGTTTAATATTTCAATATATCAAAATGCTGTTAAATGTAAATTTGTAAATCCAATAAGAATAAATAAAGGAAGACTACGTAACTTAATTTAGATAAGAATGCTTGTTTCACTAAAATATTTATATATATTGAGTATGATTATTTGAGATTTCCATTAATTTATATGAATTATATTACATAATATCGCCAGAAGTTCAATAAATATTTTGAATTATTAACATAAAAAATGCTCTTAGACATTTATCTTGTAATCTTGGTCGAAATAAATTATAATTACAACAACTGAATTTCTCTTAAACACAGGTAATATATAGGTTTGACATAAAACATGTTTCATAGAGTTTTTACTTATATAAATTTAAATAACTAATGATATCTAAAAGCTTATGTAGTCACAGATTGTATCTGCATTTCATAAGGAGAGGCCTAATATACATTTTGAAAAACTGAGATAAAGCTATTTTAGTTTAGATAAGTTCCTGAATGACGATTATAGAATTTAGAGAACTTTTGTCTAAAGGTTAATTCGTTTCTTACATTTAAAAAAGCTTTATCGTAATAAATGTTTTCATTTAAATTCACACATCTTGTTGCTGATCTGTTGAAAAAGGCTCTAATTTAGAATGCAGTAAAGGGTAGGACATGGCTTGTAATTAAATTTATGATTTTGATGCGAATGGTACAAAACTCTCAAATTTGAATAGTTTAATATTGGGCCATTTTTTTAAAACTGTGTGTACACATGTGTATTGTAAATTTCATGCTCAAGTAGGCAAGGCCGAATTTACATTTCTTCTACTTTAACATGATTCATATATATTTATACATTCGCACACACACATACACACAGATATATATATATATATGTGTGTGTGTGTGTGTGTGTGATGAATTTTTACACTTCTTTCTTTGCATTCGAAGAACAAAGATCTGAAGTACTTTAGAAAGTTCTCTCCCCTTTTCTTTATTTTTACTGCAAATTGTTTAATTTTATAACACACTGATTAATATTGTGCCTGTTTCGTTTTTTGTTCCTTTTGCCTGTTTTGATTAATTTTTACATCTTGACGCAGCTTTTGAATGAAATTATTTATACAGTTCCGTATTAGAAATGGGTTTATTTCGTGTTATCTTAGTTATTATTTGCCAAACCAGCTTTCTAATTAATTTTCACTTTATTAAACCTCTTTAAATCCAAAATAAAGAGGGAAACAAGCAACTGTTTGTTTGTGATAATTTCTGCGTTTGTTTTTCCACTATTTAGGACTTTATTGCTAAAACCAGAAATTTATTTTTATGTCAGTTTTACATCCGTTTGATCAGTCAACAGAGGCTGATTTAGTTATGTATGTAATTCAGATAATATTCATGATCTGTATAACAGCAATTTGCTAGTTTATTAGAGAGGTTATTAACCTTCTCCAGAGTGCTAATTACGCTCACCATCTACGCAATTTTTCAATACATAAACCATGATTTCACTAAAATGAGAGGAATATTACGGTAGGAATATAACCGCAATAAAAGTCCTGAATTTGATTCAGTTTAGAGGGTTAGTTATATCCTAACATCAAACGCAAAAATTCATAAAGTATGCTTAGTTACTTGATTTAAATAGCATAATTCACAGTTCACATTTTCAAATAGTAGTTCACAGTTTCAAATAATAGTTCACAGTTTCAAATAATAGTTCACAGTTTCAAATAGTAAATTTCAGCCTTTTAGAATAATGCAAAAGAATGAATGAGAAATATTACAGTCAGTTTCCGTATAAATTATCCCTAATATGAAGTGCCTTAGTTTCCAAGATAACGAGGATTTCCTGTCTCAGAAGAGAACGTAAAACTAATGATATATGCAAAATTTTTCAGACCCAGATTAATGAGACAAGAAGTTATTTTTTACTTTGAAAATAAAATTTTCACTTTTCCTGCCCACCGTTTCAAAATGACTGTAAATGTTGTTTTGCTGCTACAGTTTGATCTGTACTGGTAAGCCCTAAACACAAGTCAAATCGCTGGTTATTTGTGGAGGAATTTTCTAGTCTTTGAGAGTAACTTTATAATTATTTAACAAACCCGTAATGATTATAGGAAAATTTTGAAACTTAAAATCTCAGGCTAATAAATTCTTATTAAAATTTAGATCAAGCTAGGAACTTTATTTCGAAATTATTTTAAGCATCATATGTCTTTTCGTTATCTTCCGTAAACGCATACCTTTTAACACCTTAAGAAGAGATAAAATCGTATTTTTGCTTTAAGAGGAGATAAAATCGTATTTTTGCTTTAAAAGGAGATAAAAACCGATCTTTCCTAATAAAGATATTATGAAAGATCTATCCTATGATGAACTTTTCTATGATCTATGAAAGTTTCAGTTTCGTTTCAGTTCCAGTTTCATTTCTAAAGAAACAAACTCTGCCTTTTCTCTTTTTAAATCTTAACATAGATTTGGAATCAAAGTCTTCAGTAATTCCCCACTAGAATTTTGCTGATTTCATGTTACATTCATATCAATTTTCTTATATTATAAAACTAATTTTATTGTTGCACTGGTTTAAAATTTTCTAGTCGGGCTTCTATTTTATGGCTGAGTAGTTTTTAAATATTCAAAACGAACTTTAGATGGTAAATTTGAAAATTAAAATATAGTAAACCTCCGTTCAAGAAATTTTCCGTTTTTTCAGTTATAAGCTTTAACCCAACTCTTTTATAATTATAAATTTTATATTATATCGTAGAGTATCTTGTACTTCCCTTTTTCAGTTATAAACTATATCTTTTTCACATATCCTTATATCTGCCTCATTAAAGTCTTTTCTAAAATACTTTAAATTTCAGGGGTGTCTTTATTAAATTTTCGATAGTAAAGATAAAGTTTACAATGGCTAAATAAAGGTATGGTTTTTTTTTATGTTACCGAAATGAAACTTTGTTAAATCTAACTTCAGATTATGGTAAAATAAACTGAAAATCTTGCACATCAAAAACTGTGGAAGCACAAGAGTAAATTAATTGCACAAATTTGATTTTATTATTGAGATGACTGATAGAGCTCATTGCATTTTTCTAGCGATGGATGTATCACCTTGTAAAGTATTTCTTCCGCCTTCTTAGCATGCCTTCGTAGTGTAGTGGTCTTCATGCTGGATGCGTTTTCCAGAGGTCCGTGGTTCGATTCCTGAGGAAGGCGTTGCTCATTTTTCATCACCCCTGCTTCCAAAAAATGCCTAATGTCTCTACAACAAAATATGCAAATACCTCCTTTTCTAGCAAAATCATGCTATTTTTAGCCTTCGTTTCATTAAAATTTGCCACCTTTTGAAATCTGAACTGATCTCGTAAGAAAGTATTCCACTGATAATAATTACATTTACTATCAATGATCATTATAAAAACATTATCAATAATATCATTATAAAAATTATTATGAACTTATCAATCATCTATTTTTTATCTTTATTTTAATACCATCGCAACAGCCTTCCGATGAGTAAACTTAAAGAATTAGAGAAGAAGTAAAGATCGTCTGTGCGTTTCAGCATTACTCCCAGGTTGAGAATCCTAGTTTCTAGTTCAAGGAGAACAGAGATTTTAAAGACGAGTCCCTCCAAACTAACTCATCGATTACATTTCCTCAATCAACATGTATGAAAAATGTCATGTGACTTGGTTTCTTTTATAGCTACTCCCCAGCGAGCAAGACTCCGAAAATATACGCATATTTTAAGGTAATGTATATAACGAGTTTTCCACCCAATTACATACGTATATTTTCGTATCATCTCTACAGGAGCCAGAAAAGGGAATAGCATTATCCCGATAAATTGTGGCAGAATGTTCGCCCCAAACACAGTGTTCTCAAGCCGAGTTCCTGTTTGATATAATGTCATTATATTGTTATCAGGTATTGAACAAGAAATAATTCATACATCTTGACGACTTAGTAAATATTTGAGAATAATCTCGATGCACATCTTCTTATAGATAAATGGAATTATGGAAGTGTTATCGATAGTATTATGTCTATTAATGTTTCATTTAGTTTTAAATTTCCTTTTTTATTCTGCATTCAAATGAATTCTTATTTTAATCTTTTACATGAAAGTACTTATGAAATTAAAGTTTTTGAAACAACTATTATTTGATTTTAAACAGAATAAATTGGATCACAGCTGCTTAGATAGGAAAATAAAGAGCAAAATCCTATTCAGTGAATAGCAAGGTGTCAGGTAAAGAAATATTGTTTGAAACATTAATTAGCCTTTTTTTAATTTTCCAGATCTAGTCATGAACTTGCTGAGAGCTTTATGCATTTTAAGGAACTTTTAGGGTCTGCTACATAAGTCTAAGTTCAGTACTTAAAAAAAATGTTTTGAAATAAATTTTTTAATCTGTCTTCCTCTAACACTGTAGAAACTTAAAGATATTTCGCCGGCTAACTGTGGCTGTGCAATGTTCAACATGGCAGTTAGGCAATCTGAGAAACCTAATTAAGTTCTTTGCGAGGGTACATAGGAATATTCTAAGAAAATCTGTAGAGACATTAGGTTTTTCTGATACGGTAGACGTAGAAAATGAGCAATGCCCTCGTCGGAACTCGAACCTGAACCTCTCAAATTCACGTCGAGTGTGCTATCGTTATACCACGCAGGCATACTGGAAGCAGCGAGAAATCCAAAATATTAATGTCTGTATAGTAGCTTCTGAAATAAAATTGGTGGGTCTTCAACTTGCACTGT